GTTCATCAATCACAAATAAAAAATTTATTAGTCACTATTTATTTATTGATCACAGATAACAAATATTATATAATTATGGTCACAATTACGTATTAGTCACAACTACAACGTTGAAGTTACAAATTATAAATTTTATTACAACTTATTTGTTGATCACATATTATTCTTCGGCTACAAATTTTATAAGTTACAACTTATTTTATATCACAAAATATCAAATTATTGATCACAACATAAGAAATTTTGAGGTCACACATTATTTATTGATTACAAATTATATATTTCATTGGTCACATTCAACTAAATTTTTTGTGACCACCACCACGACCACCATGTCACCACTCTACATTCCACTCCACCATCACTATCGCCATCACTACCACCAAATCGTACTGCCACCTCTACCAAATAATTTGTGACAACCACTATGCTTCTTTTTCAGGTCCTTCTTGCTACCCGACACCACCGAATGCACCATCGCCATCATCGTAACCATCTATGCTGGAATTGTCATCACCAGCACCCTGTTTATAGCCACCTTCATCTCCATCATTATATCTACACTCCAGCAAATATTAAACTTCCACCGGTTGTCGGGAATAATCTTGGACCCCCACCACCTTCTCACAACTGTCACCTGGACCACCAGTGATTCAACCTTGGCCACTACCGCCTCCCCCATTACACCACCAATGGCCACCATTTCTACCACACCATAAACACAACCCCCCAAAAATTCCCAAATTTGCCAATTGGCACTATCAACAATCGCCAACACCACAACAATCAACACAAGAAAGTAGAAGAGATAGAATACCTGCCGTGGAGCCGCACCTCAACATATAGATTTGAAGCACATCATGTCAAATAGAGAAAGCGACGGTGGTTCTATGTGTAGAAAGAGAAAGACGACGGCGATGTGGCGATGGTGCACAGTGAAGAGAGAGATCAGAGATTGGCATCAATTTGAAAGTGCATCACATCAAACGGAGGAAGTGGTTATATGTGCGAAAAGAGAAGGAGACAACAGTTACGTGGTGGTGGTGCACGACAAAGAAAGAGATAGGAGATATACGATGGTGTGACGAGAGAGATAAAGGAGATCGATGGTGGTGTGGTAAATAAGGATGGGAGATGGCGATGAAATATAGAGAGAGAAAGGACGACATCGACGAAGTTAGAGTGAGAAAGGAGAGGGAAGAATGTTTATAAATTTAGGTTATGAGAGTGAGATAGGATGGGATGAAGGCAGGGGCGGAGCCAAGATTTATGTTCAGTGCAGGCATCATTTTTCGACGCCAAATTTCGAGGTTTTGGTTATAGATCTAATGATGATAAAAAAAATAAAACAATATTAGAACAATACTAAAAATGACATAATTTATATATTAAACTTGTTCCTTTCGAGTTTTCATAGTTTGATATCGTCGTACAATAACTTCATTATCAAATTTCAAAAATATATTTTTCTCTATATAAACAATTGTACTATCATTCATCCACTGATCACCCATCCGATTGCGCAATCTATCCTTTACGATATTCATTGCAAAAAAGACTCTTTGCACAGTAACAGTAACATCCAGTAAAATCAATGCTAAAGTCAAAAGTCTGTAAACCAATGAATATATCCTATATTTCTTTGTCAGAACTAACTTCTTCATAAGATCACCAAGGTCATTCAATCCTTCAAACTCTTTGTTAGAATGCATGTCAAAAATATAAGTCTCAAGTTGATCGTTAAGTTCAATGACATCTATTACAGAGAAATCTAATGGATAAAGCTCAGCAAGTCTAATGGATAAAATCCTGATCTTTTGCTAACTATATCAGCAGAGGGTGAAAACATAATAATCGACCCATTTAAAAGATCGAAATTATCCAATCAAATAACAAATTGATATATAAACCTGAATTAGTCCATTAATCACACGTCCTGTGCATCAATAACTTGAAAGTAACCCGTTTCAGTTCTTCTTCTTTAGAGAGGCGGCAGCTGGTGCCTGGCGGAGGCGATAGCAGTTGCGGCCTGCAGACTTGGGTGGGGAGGATTGGGGTTTCGACTTTGGGGATACCAGATATACTTACTTGGTCGGGGATTAGAGCCCCTAATCGAGGATATGCAGGCCACCGGTGGACTGGAAGTAGAAGTAGCCGGCGAGTACAGGGGCGGAGTTTCGAGAGAAGCAGGCGAGAGTCGAGAGATGGAGAGAGACGCGATTTAAGGGTTTGGTTTGGTTTTGATTTCAATGAAACAGGTTAATTGAATGATTTGAATCAACATTTCGGGTTTGGGTCGGTAAACGGGTCATGGGTTGTGGGCAATGGGGCTTTCATTTGGGTTGGACATTTAACCAGGTTTCAAAAAAAAAAAAAAAAAAAAAAATTGGGCCTACTGGAGCCCAAAAGTTCAGTGCGGGCAGATGCCCGCACTGGACCTAATGGGGCTCCGCCCCTGGATGAAGGGGGTATGTTAATTAGTTTACTTTTATAATATTATTATTAAAATTTAGACTTTTAATTATATCCTATTTTTGAAAAAGAAAAAGCTTATCTCCTAATTATGAAATGGAATATTGAAAAAGTTGCTGAAGAGCGAATAAGAAGGGGCTTCCAACTGGAACGAAGGTGCATGGCCATGATGCACCACAAGGAAAGCATAGGCGAGTAGTCACTTCACTCAACACAAAGAATACACTTTGTTTCTGTGATTTCCACTTTATAAGTTAACCATATAAGCCAAAGCATTTATGACGTGGTCCGGTAGAGCTTACATATAGCCAGGGTCCAACATTGCCTTTTGACTTTTGGTGCTGTCTAGGCCCGACTAGAAATTTAGGTCGGGTCATTTTAATTTAAAAAGTCTACGACCCACTTCAATTTCTCTCTCTCTAAAGGATACCCAAAAAATTAACCCCACATTTGACGCTTATCAAAAAGAGTATTTTGGAAAAAAAAGGAAAAAATTGGAGTAATGATTTTTTGGAGAATAAGTGGTCCAAAAGTGGGAAAAAAATTAAGTTTACATGCAAAATATTTTATTATGAAAATATGTGATTAAAAATGAGTTTTAGAAAAAAAAAGTTTTTGAAAAAAGGGTAGACAACAAGGGTTTTACAAGAAAGAGCGAAAGAAGGTATTTTCATTTCTTGGGTTCCACTTCTTTCTATGCATAGAAAAAGGAGTTTGTTGCCCCCACGGGCATGGCGCAGTGGTAAAGTAGGAGGGTTCCACACGGAGTATCGGAGGTTCAAATCTTTGCTGCAGCTGGAAGGCAACATTTATGTTGGAAGACAGTTGTCCTGTAGAGGCAAAGTTATGGTATACTTTGTCGCTCCTCCGAGGGTCCTGTCCGCATGTCGTAAAGGAAGGTGTACCTGAAGGAGAACTGCATCCCAAATGTCCAGTCTAAGTGTGTAAAAGTTGTGTCCGCATCCGAATTTACCTGGGTGGCGAATCAGGAAGAAGGTCGTCACTCCTCAGGATTAGTCAAGTGATCTTGGACACCTGAGTTATCAAAAAAAAAGTTAAAAAGAAAAAAGAAAAAAAATGGAGTTTGTTGTGAAGCACAACATGAACCAATGAAGAAAGACTTATGGCGTCGCTATGATTCCAGTATACCTTTGCCAGGAACTAGTTTTACCAATTATACCAAACTAACTCATGGGAGTCTTTTTTGCCAAACATCAGGCTAAAGGGAAGTCTTAATTCAAAGGCACTTGCGCTGGAACTTCTTCAAGAAGGGGTAGTTGAAGCTATATTCATGTTGGTTGATGAATGGACATCTTTGACTTTATTGGATGCTTTCACACTGAGGGTTCCGCTTCCTTATCCTTTCTCTATAAGCAGATGATGCATGCTCGTGATAGCGAAAATAATAAAGCTTTCCATCGATCTCTGATAGGTTGGAAGGATGAAAAGTCCGATATGTTAGTTAAGCTATACTTGTCTTTCTTCTAAAGCTCAAAGCTTATGGTCTTTTGACAAGAATTTAAGTCTAAGTTTGAGTCAGTATTCTCTAAGCCTTCCACTTCAACCTCTAGTCTTGTTTATAAGAGAGTGAGTGAGAAGTGTGTACTACTCTGTAAATGGTATATTCGTATAAAGTTATATATTCCTATAGATGTCGGACTTTGCTGCTATCTTCTTTGGACTTCATCCCCAATACCTTTCCAATATGGCCTTGAAGAGCTTCTTATTTAATTTCCTTTTTCAGGGATTTATTTTCCATATCATCTTGGAACAAAGGAGTTCTCCCTCGGGCCTCTTAGAAACTCAATTAGAAGGGGGCTTAGTCGATGGTATAAGAAGAAATTGGTATCTTCTCGGATGCTTTCTCGTTGCCTTTTAGGGGAAAGACTGACAAATGATGGAATTTTTGGAGGTCGTTGATTCTGGATCATCTTCCAACGGCTAACCAAAGCAAACACAATCAATAAGAGAAATAGCATAAAAAACCAGAGATTGGGGCCGAACGGGAAACTATGTATTCTAGAACGGTAAAGTTGATCCTGCAGTGGACTAAACTTGATTCATTCAAAACATAATAGAAGCCTCGGATGCATAGTCAAAATTGTGCAATCCGGATTGGTCCACCAATTGATTGTTGGTTTTTCGATCAAAGCGTCCTGTTCGATTCAATTTTACACATTTTGAATAATGATTTTCTGAAAAATGTGTGATTTAAAATTAAGAGAAAATTTTGGATTTACTTATAAAATTATTTTATATGAAAATACGTGATAGAAAATGATTTTTTTTTTAAAAATGGAAGTCAAACATATACTTAGGTCCCGTTTGGTAGGGATTTTGAGAATTGATTTTTTGACCGTTAGAAAAAAAGTGGGGTCCACATGTGAGAGAAGAAGTCAAAAATTACGGCTTGAATAGTAAAATAACGGTCAAAAAATCAATTTTTTGAGGCAAAAAATCCCTACCAAACGGGGCCTTAATATGCATGCACTTATTGGAATTAGAATTGTAACCTAAAGTCAAAATCATTATGTTCCAACTAATATTTTTCATATTTAATTGCCTTGAACCTCCAACATATTACAATAAATTTACAAATTAAATACAAGACAAATTCTAGTTTTACCACAAACTGTTAGACGCATAAAATCAAACTTTCGACAAGGTACAGAAGTTCTATATTTGGCATGACATATTCTACTATACTCGACAATATTACAAAGGAAATTAACGAAATTATCATTTACTGCTTTTCAAACATACTTCTACACATTCATGAGACAACAGATGAGTTCCCAAGATTTCTCTACTTGGGGATTTTCTTGGAGAGGGACGAAATGGAGAACAAAACGAGCATCGCCAACAAAATGGAAGCGGCCAATGAAACTGCAATGGAAGCTCCGATATGCCTGCAAAACTTGTCGTAGATATTACATATCTTACTCCATCCAGTGTGAGAATTGCCTTTTAAACCTATATAAGCAACTCCACCTGCTGTTCCAGTTGCTGCCGCTACAATTCCTAAGAAGAGCTGCACAAACATTGTTAAGAGTTAGTCGTACCCCGCTTTTGCAAGTGTGACCAAGATGTGTCAAATGGACCAGATCGAGCCATCTCGACTATAAACTTACCACATCGAATATGACGAAATGAGACACCAGTTTGGGACAGCTACCAGGCCTAAGGAGGGCAAACAAGGAAAAGAGACTGGTAATAATACTGTAAAAGCCCAGAGCAGAAAGTGCTGCTACAAAGTATCTGCACAAGGGATTATCAATTTGGAGTGAGCTTGCAATTATAATAAAAATAACTTAATGGAATTGTAATAAAGTTATGACACTTATATATGGTGCATGTTTGGATAAGTTTAAAAACTACAAGTTTAGCTACAATTAAATAGATATTTTTTTGTGGGTCAAAGTTATAGATAAGTGAATTACTAAAGTAATCTCTATTTTACTTTTGAAATAATAATTTTTTGTGGTTGTAGAAAAAGTAGCCTATCAAGACACATTTAGAAGTTAAAACTTAAAGTTAATCTTGTCCTTAATTTCAAAACTTTGACATTCAAGGTTGTTTGACAAAGTTTTAGTAGATTTTGATAGAAGTTGATGAAATATATGATTGAAAAGTTGAAAATTTCTTGAATCCCATGAAATGTAAAATTAAAATTAATTGTTAACTTCGATATCGTGTTTTTAAGAACTTCTTAAACTTTTTCAAACAGGCAATTTTGACTTCAAAACTTTGACATTTGATAAACACTGAGTTTCCATACAGAAAATCAATACTATACGAAAACTATTAAAAATGTTTTCAAAATTGGGAGGAAAAAAAAAAAAAAAAAGCGAAGTAAGGGAGACTAGACAGCGAGAATTAAGATTGTCGTCTAGACAGATCTACTACAAGAGGTAAATATAATAAATTTGAAAACTTTTACAAGAATTTTTTGGAAATATAATTAGGAATTCAATTTTTTTCACTTTGTCGAGGTCTTCAGCTTTACGCTACGAAAAATTATATTTCCATAGCATTTTGTGTCCTACTTTTTTCCAAAAACAAAGTTTTTCCATGTCATTTTTTCGTTTCTGTTTCAGTGCAACCTAGTATGTTCGCGAGCACTTGATAGATAGATAGAAAGATTGAACTTACACGAAAGCTGGTGAATGATTGAACTTAGCAGACATTGGAGCTTGGTATGGATAAATTGGTATTGGAACTTTTTCAGTTTGCTTACTAGTAACCATAACCAAAACAGCAACCAAAGCAGAAGCAAACAGCAGGAATCTCAAAACCACATCAACCAATGCAAAGTAGGCGGCCGAAGCTCTCGACTCCGTTGGTGGTCGTGGTGGTGCTACCGGTGGCCGAGCCGTCGCCTCCTTCTCCCATGATGTGGTGGTTTCGGGTTGTGGAGCCGTCTTGTAGGGTTCCGAAGACATTGTACCTGATCTAGCTAAGTTTTGTTGAATATTGTAGGTGTGGTTAAAGATATATTACAAATGAATGTGATAATATATAGAGAGAAAATGGATGTCGTTTTGACTAAGGTATGGTTGGAATTTTCCGCAAGCCAAGTGATGATTTTATATGATAAATTTCTTCATTTCCTATCATAGCTGGAATACTTGACTATTGCATTTCTTAATGTATTTGATTCGAAGTAATTGGATAGGAACACGTAAATTTTTTAGTTCTATTCAACTTAGTTACTTTTTGATTCTTATTTTCAAGAATTTATTTTTAACCATAGAATACACAACTTTTATCAACTCTCTAACTGTACATTTCATCGACTTTTATCAAAATATATTAAAAATATATTTTTATTATCTAAATTAAACATGGACTTATTATATAAAATATCTTTGAATGGACATATTTAATATTGAAACCTTTGAAAAGAATAGTTGATGGCACCTATTGTCAAATTAGCTGAAAATCCCCCTATATGACATTTGAGGTGTGAAAGATTCCATTTTCTTGATAAGGCCTCATGAAATAACGAATATATCGTCATATTTAAATAAAACAAAAAGAAAAAGAAGAAAAAAATAACCGACGCTCGCGGTCACCACAAATCCAACGCCAATTCAATCGCCAAATACTCTTCCAACATCGAACTTTCTTCCACTGCCAAATAATATGGTGAAGAAGGTGGCGGTTGGGGGAGGTTCCCATTATACGCGCTAACGCCCGGCCGAAGGTTAAACCAATTGGCAGCATAGTGGTCAAGGCGAGAGCCAAAACCTACGTTCCCAGGGTACAATTTTAAAGGAGTGTTGTTGTCTTAACCGATTGGATTAAAGTGTGTTGGCTTAATTGATTGGTGGTGTTGGAAGATGGGGAGAGAAAGAGATTTATTTTTATTCTTAATTTAAATTTTAAATTATTTATTTGAAATTCATTTGCTCTTTTTTAAAGAATTTAAGATTATAATTGAAAATTAATTCTTTATTTCTTCGTCTTCTTTTTCTTTTATTTCACTTAAATAGAATGATATATTCATCATTTCACTGGATTTTATTGAGAAAATGTGGTCTTTCGCAAGTCAAATGTCATATAGGAAAAGATATGGGGCATTCGACGATAGGTCCATAAGATGTGGGGTGCAATGTGGGGTATTGCACCAATAAGCCAATAATTGACTAATCCATTAATACAAAGGAAATTTTTTATGAGTATTTTCTTAGTTTCTCGAACATTATCATGCATGAAATATTGGATAGTGTATTTCAAGACAAGATTATATAATGATAAAATTATGAGGGTTTTATTTTATTTTATTTTTTTCTCTTTTTGTCTTTATATTAGCGTTGTCTAATCCAGTGTATGATACCGTAAGTTTTTATCTATCGTCATATGAACTAGGATTCAATTTAACGAAGAAAATTTCAATGACTATAACTTTCAAGATGAATGCTTGAATAATGCATTTTTATATATAATTCTTTTGTGAGTTTCCACTTGAAAGGTGCTAACATGTTGATTTGAAATCTCTGTCTTGATGTATAATCAACGGCCGTCGTGCTGTCATTGCTTAAGCATTCATATATATCTTAGACTAAGATTTCTATAATATATACATTAGCCGTTTATTTGTTTAATGTAGAAGATAAAGTTTAAAATTTCTTCTATATATTTTAATTGGTCAATGGTCAGTGGGAAATTAATTTCGAGCTATATCAATTTTAGGATTCATCTTTAACATGGAACATTCTTTTCTACATTGGATCAAGATCATGCCAGAATTTTATTTTAAAAAATTCATTTTAAAATTTGATCGATCTTTCAAGCTTTTAAAATTTAATTTTCATTTTAAATATTGAGAGAAGAGTAACTCAACTTCTTATATATATATATATATATATTAATAGTTATTTCCTTTTCAAGCAATATATGATTTTATCCTAGCGTGCATATGATTTGACAAAGTGAGCTATTGATGCGCTTAAGACAGTTTGGCATTGCTGTACTCTTTGACTTTTGATGTGCTTAAGTAATAATTAGCTGCAAGAAGAATCATCAAGCGTTTGATAAACTTTTGTTTCAAAATTAATATTATATTTTAAAATTAGCAATTTTGCATTTGGTAAAAGAAAGTGATTTATTGTTGTGCATGTATATAATTATTAAAATGGATATTTATTATAATAATTTTCTTTTAAATTACTATAATAAATGGTAGTATTTTAAAATTTATTTTTACTTCTTTAACAATAGCCAATATGTAATATAATCAATTTTTTTTCCAAGACAAATAAAAGCATAATACATATATAGTGGCAAAATATTCAAAAAATTAAAATGGAGAATTGATGCTTTATTTTTGAAATATCAATAAATCAAGGACAAAGAAAATGAATTAATTTAATTATTTAAGGTTGAAATTGCTAGTTTCACTATAGATATTTAGAGAAAGTAAAAGCAAAAATAATGCAAATGATAGGAGTGAGGTTATCTCACGCCTCGCTGGCAGCCGTAGTGTGGGAGTTCGATTCCTGAGATATGAAATTGGACTCCTTGTAAGCACAGTGTACAGACAGCTTTTATTCCCTGGTCTGTTGAGACACATCCCGCTATTTATCTCCTTCACATAGCTCTAGGGACGAGGCAGTGAGGACCCCAAGGTTGGGGTTCAACCTTTTTTTTTAGAAGTGCCTTTGTGATTCCCGACGAAGTCACTAACGATGTTCTCATTGATAATTTCTGACAAAGGTTTGTTGCAATCAACATAAATATTGCTATCGATTTTTCTGTTTGCTTTTATTCAATAATTTTCGACAACATCATCCACGACATGTCGTCAAATAAAATTGAAGGTGTGTTGGTAATTATCAAATTGCTCTCGATAATTTTAGGGAGCCGTTATTGACATCCACTATTGTTATAAATTTTTAACTTTATATAAATTTACTTAAATAGACATATATAAAATTAAAGAAAAATATATCATCTAAATTCATCCCCTACTATCTAATTTTTTTTTAAATTCTTGGACCTTTTTACAAATCCCTAATATTCATAAAATATCCTCCTCATCTAAAACCAACGTAGAAATGGAAGAGACTATGCCTTGTTTCCAAACAGAAGAAAACGGTCAAGAAAAGAATCCGAGGCAGTTTAATGATACAGAATCAAATTCATACATATTTTCCCTTTCCAACTAGAAAACTTGTACAAAGACAAGAAAGGCAGGAGATCATATTTTTTCACCCAGGAAAGAGATGCTTTTGAAATCTCACATTCTTTTACTCTATTCTGCAGAAAAAAAAATATTTAATTGCAATTTTATAAGACAAAACATAGGCATAAATTTTCTGAGATGGTGGGAACAGGACTAGAAATTTAAATCATTGCGTATTTGTATTTTTATTACAACCAGATAGAAATGTGCCTTACAGTTACAGGGAAAGAATTGAAGAAAGATGAGGACGTGCGATATATCAATAACAAATGGGATAAATATATAAAAATGAGTGAAGGTATAGTGTTTAAATTAATGAATTTAATAAGGATAATTTTTTATTATTTATTTATTTTTTTCTTTTTTGATGACGGAGAACCTATAGTCGCTATCCTTCGGGTGCGCACTGTGTAAACTCTTGGACTTGCGCAATAGCTTGTAAACCAAGTTAGCCAGATAAACCACACTAGACAAACCCGATACGACAGGCTCGACCGAGAAGGTATTGGTAGATGGAATCGAATTCATGATCAAATGCTTCCGTGCTCACCTACACCACCAACTCGACCACCTCATGAAGGGCAAATAATACGAACAATATTGAAATATGATATGGATGAAAATAATATATTTTTTTAACAAAATTTTAATAGGGATAAATATAGTGTGATCACCGACAAATATTAATTTCAATTAGAATAACCAACGTCACATCATTGGCGATCATTGACTGATTTTTTGACAATTGTCATTTGCTCTTTAAATTTATTATTATTATTATTTTTTCCTTCATGTTCTTAAAAATGTCCACTAGACGATTTTGTCCAAGGACTCAAATTATTTGAGCGATCTAAGACATACGCAAACGAATACACGTATTTTATATAACTAAAATTATTTGTGTGAAACTTTTAAGGACTACTATACTAAATATATTTAAATAACACGACTTGTAATCTTCCCAACTACTCGCCAGATTTTGTGCATAAAAGTTTGACTTTGTCTGCATAGAATTGAAGAACTCAAATTGAATCTAAGACTTGATTTTTTTTTCCAAATTTATATAAGAATTGCATCACATAATTGTAATATGCAGACTGAGGGTTAAATACAACAATAGTCACCAAACTTCATACTTAGTGTCACAATGATCATCTAATTTAATTTTGTTTCATCATGACCACCCAATTTCTTTTCATCATTTTTTTCACTAATTTTAAAATAAGTAAAACGGTAACATTGCTTTATATATACAATAAATTTTAAAAAATAAAAATCAAAGTAAAAGAAAAACTTATTTTTAAAAATAAAATAAAATAAGAACTTATTTAAAAAAATTACTTAAAAAGATAAAATAAAAATTTATTTTTAAAAAGACTTTACTTAGAAAAATAAAATAACATAAAAACTTATTTAAAAAAAACGTTCCTTAAAAAAAATAAACATTAATTTTAATAAATTTACATTAAATAAAAAATTATTTAAAAAAGATTTTTAAAATTAAAAAATAAAAAACTTATTTTAAAAAAAATGTTACTTAGAAAAATAAAATTACATAAAAACTTATTTAAAAAATATAATTTTAAAAATTTTAAAAAAACTTTTATTTTTGATTTTAGGTGGCCATAAAAAAAATTATATGAGATTGGATGGTCATGGTGACACAAAGTATAAAGTGGGGCGATCATAGTGAAACAAAATCAAATTGGGTGGCTATGGTAATACTAAATTTAAAGTTAGGTGTCCATTGATGAATTTAACCTGCAGACCGATTATTTCACAGCTGTTTTTATGTCAGTTCGCTGTTTATAATGTGTTGTGATACATATGTCTTAGTACATATTATTTACATGAACTC